GTGGGTGGGTGGGTGGGTAGGTGGGTGGGTTGGAGCCTGCAGGGGACGCGTCCCCCCGAGACACCAACGCAAGCACACCCAGAGCAGGTGCTCCGACCAGTCAGGCTCACACCCCGAGCCAAGACCACGAGCCTCCCTCCTTGGCAGCCTCTCCTCGTGGCCAGGGCTCCCCAGCCCACTCAGGCTGGCCACAGAGGCATCCCAGAGCCGTGCAGAGGTTGGGACACGGCCGTGGAGCAAGGGCTTTGGCCACCCCTGTCATACCACTGACACTGTCACACCACTGACACTGTCACACCGCTGGCCCTGGCTGGGCTGGGGGCATTGCTGCACCTGCCCTGCAGGCCTGTCTGCTTGTGGAGGGGCTTCCAGCCCCCAGGTGTCCCTGAGGAGCAGGATCCACACAGGGGTACCCCAGGGAATGAGCCTGGCACAGAGTGATGGATGCCTCCTCCCCTCCCCTCCAGCAGAGCGGTTTGTGCTGCACAAAGCCCAGGACAGAAGTCACTAACGGGGCATGTAGCTCCTGTGCCCCAAAATGCCACTGCCTGCCCAGCCAGGACGGGGCTCTCGGGGTCTGGCTGCCCCCCATGCTCCAGTTCCAGCGTCAGGCTCAGCTCCTGTGCCCAGGGATGCCGTCCTGCCCTGGGATCGAGCTCTGGCAGGGTGAGCGGGGCTCAGCACAGCTCCGGGGGATCGGGCAGGGATTGCTCTGGTTCCCAGCTCGCTGCAGGGCAGGGGCTGCTCAGAGGGGATGTGAGATCCCCTCTGGATCAGACCCCGGGAAGCAGCTCCTGAGTATGGCTGCTCATTCATTCCTGCCTCAACCCAGCCTCCCTCAGCTCCCTCCTCATTCATTTCTCCCTCCTTTTCCCGCTTTGCCACGAACTTTTCTCCTTTCAGCCCGCGCCCCATCTCTCTCTCGCACACCTCCCTCCACCCCTGCCGCATCCCTCCGCGGGTTTATCCCTTCTCCCTTCTCCCAGCTCTGTCCCGGTGACAGGACACACAGATCAGGCACTAAACTTTCATTTTCCAGGCACCCAAGAGCCCTCTGCGCTGCTCCCTGACCCCGGTGGGGCTGGCAGCGGCAGCGCTGCTCCCACCTTGTGGGCATGGCTTGGCAGCCCCCTAAACAGATCAGGGCAGCATCCATCCCCCGCCAGGAATGTGGGCACTTCACCAGGCGCGCCAGCGGGAGAAAAGAGGAGGGAAAAGAGCGAGGAAAGGTCAGGGCAATCAGAGCGAGCCCGTTTCCTGCCCGAGCCCACGGCCCCGGCCGCTCCGCGCTGCGCTCCGTGCGCTTTTACCTGCGTGCACGGACTCCAGGTTCACCATCCTGCCGGCGGGGGGAAATCCGCGGTGTGCCCAGCCTCCTGCCGTCAGCCCCAGGTTGCCAGGGGCTGCCAGTTTGCCCTCCCTCCTCTGCCACCCGCTGCCTCTCGAAGCGGCCGTGGGTCCGCAGCCCAAGGGACCTAGAGCTCCATTGCCTGTTGCCATGCAGGGCCAGGTGAGCATGCGGCGCGGTGCCACGCCTCGCCCCACCTCCGGCTCCCTCGGGTGCCCTGACACCCAGCAGCCTGGCGTCAGGCCCATGCAAACGCTGCCATTTGCATATTAGTAACTCGGGAATGGATGAGTCCCTGCAGCGCTGCCAGGCTGCGGGGTGGGGTGGGAAGGAGGGCAGGAAGGAAAGCGCTGCGCTCGGGCAGCACCCGCAGCACCTGCCCCAAAGCTCTGCCGTGCCCCCTTTGGGCTCTGAGCACCCCGGGTGGGCTCGAGCAGCACCCTCAGCACCTGCCCCAGCCCTCACACCTCAACCAGACCATAGCACCAAGTGGCGTCTCCAGCCTTTTTTTAAACACATCCAGAGATGCTGATTCCACCACCTCCCTGGGAAGAGCATTCTTTATTTATTATTCTTTCAGTGAATTTTTTTTCTAATATCCAACCTATACCTTCCCTGACGTGGCTGAGACTGTGTCCTCTGGTTCTGTCAGTGCTGCCTGGTGGAAGAAACCGACCCCACCTGTATGCAACCCCCCTTCAGGAATCATAGAGAGCAATGGGGTCACCTCTGAGCCCCCTCTTCTCCAGGCTAAACAGCCCAGTTCCTGGGGTCACTCTGCTAATCCTGTGTCATTGTGTCCTCTCAGGCTGGGCTGCACCTCGATGCTGAGTGAAGCAGCACGAAAAGGAAAGTGAAAAGCATCAAAGAAACCTGGAGATAAAGAGCAGGGTTAAAGAATAAATAATAAAGATAAAGGCTGGCACGTGGAGACCCCTGCTCTCCTGACGAGCTCCATCTCTGTCCCCTAAGGAGAGGAGAGAAGTGGCAGCCAGCCTCCTCCTCCTCATCCCTGCTGCTCCAAGCCACAGTATTTACCAACTTCCAGGGAAGCCAGGCACGAAAAAATCCCCTAACGTTGGCTCCTTTTGCAGAAACAGGCCTGAGGCTGAGCTCCGTGCTGTGACAGGGACCCAGCGAGCCAGGCAGCTGCTCGCTGTCCCTGCCATGTGCCACCCTGGTGACCCCAGCACCCTGGGGACAGCCGTGTGACAGGGCCGGGCTGCAGCCGCCGGGAGCCCCGCTGAAAGCGTTAACGCTCAATTAGTAGCTGCCAGGTACAAGCTATCACACATTCATCTCTCCCCGGGTAATTCACGTTCCAGGGCTCTCGGCTTTCCCACATGCCGCTCTCCCTCCCTGGAAAGACAGGTTTCTCCCGGGGGATGGGTAGGCGGGCAGGATCTCCAGCCTCACCTCCAGCCCAGGGGCCGAGCTGCCCGCGGCATGGGCAGCCAGCACATCCCCGGGAGAGGGCGGAGGAGCCCAGCCAAGCCCTAACAAGGAAAAAACAGAGGGAAGCTGGGGGCTCCCGGCTCACAATGACATTTATTTCCAGGGCAGGGGAGATTTCAGCCTCCAGGAAGAAGCGAGGTGGCAGCAGCAGCCGGTGCTTGGCACGGGTCCTGGGCTCCTGCCACCCGTCCAGCCACTCAGGCCTGAGCCCTGGGGCGTTCCTGGGAAGCTGCCGCCCTCTTTTCGTGTGTTTTTCTCTGGGTTTTCCCCCATCCTGAAGCCTGACGTGATCGGGTGTCTTCACTGCGTCAAACAGGAATTTATTTGCTGGTGGCTCCCAGCCAGCTTGAAAGGCTGGCGACCACGGGAGCTCTCCTTCCCCCACATCAGAGCACCTTTTGTTCACCAGCCAGGAGTTTCTCTCTCTGCTCTTCCTGGCGTTTTTCCCGTACTCCAGAGCCCACCAGGAGGGCTGCTCTGCCGGTGGCATCTCCTGCCGGACAGGAATCCCGGGCATCCTCCGGTCAGGGATGCTGTCTAGGCCACGGGCAGGGCACCAGTGCCCTCTCCTGGCCCCAGACGCGGCTGGGAATGACTTTTTCTGGCTGTTATTTTGTGCTTGGTGAAACAGAGGGGAAAGTTAAATATTTAGATGGTTTTCTCCCCAAATAGCTGCGACAGCCAAGCCCATCCCCTTGGGTGCCCTGAGCTTTGGTGATGTGCGGGAGAGAACACACCCTCCTTGTGAAAATGAGGGGATGGATCACAGCATCACCACTTCTTTCTGCCGGGGAAATGGGATTATCAGGCAAGGCAGGATTGGTTTTACTCTGATCACTGCTAAAATCACTCTCAGACACCACCAAACACGCTGCTCTTTCTTTTCCGTGTGGTCATCAATGACCTATCCGCCCCCCTCCTCACTGCAGGCACCGTGTTCTTCCTCTCCTGCTGTTCCAGGTGTCTCTTGGAGGGAGATAAACTCTGTAGGTAGCACCCGATTTATGGGATACGGGCCCTGGAAGCACAAACTGCAGGGAGAGGCTACAAAAATCCCCAACGTTCTCTTCCGGCAGGGCTGGGGACACCCTGCGATTCTGCAGGGACCGGCTGGACCACGAGCATCCCTGTCCCGACATCCCGGCATCCCGACATCCCGAACCCGGCCGGGCGCAGCCGCGCTCCGCCAGCACCCACTGCTGGAGGCCGGGAAACTGCACCGGCTACGGACATTCCAGAGCCTCGGAATTCCAAAATAAAGCCCACAGCGCTCGCTGGGATGTGTCCCGATGCTCTCAGAGCGAGCCCGTGTCCGTCCCGACATCCCTGTGCAGGCGGCAGCAGCGGGAAGGGACAGCAGTGCCTGGAATCCCACCGCACCCTGCTCACAGCCCGCCTGCCCCAGAGCTGAGTTTAACCCCAATACTCGTGAGAAAACCCCGCAGAGAGCAGAGAACAAAGCCCCGTTCCCCCTGCCCCCCGAAAGGTGAATTGTTGGTGGCGAAGCGGAGAAACGCTGGAGGAGGTGCCGGTCCCATCCCTGCATTCCCCACACTAGAGGGAATCAGAGCTCCACAGTTCATTTCTCCCTCACAGCAGCTCCGGGCTGGCCCCAAAGTGCCGCCCTCATCAGCTGGAGCTGCGGAGGAATTCACCAGGAATTCACCAGGAATTCACCAGGAATATTCTCCACAGCCACAGAAGCCTCGTGGGACCAGGACCTGCTTCTGCTGATGGGTTTATCCAGCAGAGCTCGAGCTCAAAGCTCCCAGAACTGCTTGGGATGAGCCAAACCTCTCCCTATGAGCCTCAAACCTGTCTCCCCATGGAGAGTCTGAGGTGCAGCATCACCTTGCTGAGTCAAAAATCAGTCTGCCAAAAAAATCAGTCAAAAATTCCTGCATGCTCTCCCCCAGTCCATGGCTCTTCACCAGGTGCAGGTTTGAGACTTACCCATAAAGGAAAAATTCTGAATTCACACACAGAGAAACTTTTAGGCCAAGGATGCTTTAAAAAATCAGTTTATTTTACCTTACAAATGATAAATAATTTTTTTGTTTGTTTAAAAAAACCATTTCAAGTGTGTTTTACTTCATGTTCCAATATTAAAATACCTTTCCCTTCTCCCCCCACCCCCTTAAGTGATCGATACAAAAATAATTGTGACCAAATTATTTTTTTTTCTTCTTTGCAAAAATTCCTGTGTTTTAGGCAAAAAGGCACATTGTGAAGGCTTTTCACCAGGAGGCACAGGGGTTCCTCAAGACCCCAAGAGCTTCTCTCCCCTCTGTGCTTGTCCTAATTTGAGTGGAAGAGGACACAGACCCAAGCAGCACTTCCAGTGCTTTTTGTCTGATCCCTCCAGGAATGTTCCAGGGCCAAGGACAACTTCAGTGTCACCCTTGTTTAACATATGGGGGAAACCAAGGCACAGCAAAGCAGTACAGTTATTTAAGAGCTTCTTGTGAACAGCTGGCAGAGCAGGACATAAAACTGGACATGGATGTAGAATCCTGTCTTCTTCAAAACCCACCTGGGATCCTCCTCTCCCCTTCCAACCACAGGGTTACGGTGGTAGTCACGAGTCTCTAGATGTTTCTTTCTTAGTGGAACAGTCACAAGACCAACACAAAAAGTTGGGCCTTCACTAGTCTAGATAGGGATTAATTAAAGCCCTAATTACCAGCCCTTTAGGGGCACAAGATGCTGGGCTATATCCCCCGGTGTATCTTCCATCCACTGGGGGATATAACAGCCAGTCAGGCACTAGGAAAAGCTACAGGCAGGCTCTTGCTTTGGGTGGGCTTCAAAGCCTCCTTGTTCAGGGGCTGTGGCCCCAGAAATCAGCTGTTTCCCTGTGGTTGTGTCACCAGGAGGTGGTGAAGGCAGCAAAGGGGTTTCTTCAGTGGCAGAGATGTTTGGCAACCCAGGTCAGCAAGATCCTTGCCCTGCCCGCTCAGCTCGAGGCTGGGAAGTGCCCCTTTGAGCTCCAGAGCAGGGCAGCACATCCCTTTCCCTGTGCTTCACCCCAAAACCTGCATCTCCTGCCCCAGAGAGCCAGAGCATCACCACCCAGCGAGCTGAGCCTGCTTGTCACAGCACGTGGAGAGGGAGGCCAGGAGGCCACGAGGAAAGGCACAGAGCACAAGGCACCGCTGTGAACATCATTCCTTCTTCAGAGCAGCCAGCTCCTCGCTGGGGCAGACGAGCCACCCCTGGGCAACCTGGCCTGGCTCTAAGTTTCCTCATCCCAGAGGCAGAGCTGCTTTTGAGGCACGTAGTAGTGGAAGGTGTAGCCCTTCTGGCAGCTGCGGATGCCGCACTTGTAGGAGGACACCCTGCCCGCGGCGTCGCGGCTCTTGCAGTACTTGAGCATGCAGGGGTACCACTCGATGCTCAGCGAGTAGCTGCACATGCACGGCTTCCAGCGGTCCTGGCACAGCCCGCAGCGCTGCAGCTCCGGCAGCTCCGAGCCCTGCGGCAGCACCTCGAACATGGAGCCATCCACCCCTGCGGGAGCAAGCACACACAGGCTCAGAAGGGAGGGACAGAGCCAGCAAAGCCATCCCCACACGACTTCCAGGCTGAGGAGGAGGTTGGAAAATGTTTCCAAGGGCTGTTGGGACTTAAATCTGAATGGCAGCCATGGGAGAAATAAAAGACCCCAAGGAAAACAAAGTTCGGCAGGTCCGAGCCGTGCAGCAGCACCTCGAAC